AATCTTCATAATTCTAAGGTTTCCTAAACTATGTTCTGTTTGTTTTGTTTTTTGAGAAATACCTCTTTGTAATAATGGCATTTCTTAATTACTCTAAGAATGAACAGGTTCTTTATGTGTACTATGTTACTTCTTTAGCGCCCTTTCAATAATTATATGAGCCCTGGCAAAATACAAAATACACACATACACACGTAAACCTACAAAGACAAACACACATACACACACGGATACACATACATACACGCATACACAAACACACATAACATACACGCATACACAAACACACATACATACACGCATACACAAACACACATACATACACGCAATATACACAACCACATACATACACGCATACACAAATACACATATACAAATACACAAATACACACATACACAACACGCATACACGCACACACACACAACACACACACACACCAAACACACACACACACACACACACACACACGCATACACACACACACACCACACACACACACACACCACACACACACACACACACACACACACACACACACACACACACACACACACCACACACACACAAAAAAAAAAAAAAAAAAAAAAAGGTAACTATAAAATTACAGAATTGCTAGAGTGGTTTTTATATGCACCTAATGAGTGTGGTCATGGGTTATGCATGGCAGTGGGGTATGGACAAGGATCATGTATAAAAAGTGAATAACCAGATAAAGTTTGGGAACCACTGCCCTAGATTCAACTTAAATGAAAAATGTAAAAACTCATACAAAAGAAACAGAAGAGATAATCCTACTATCAGCATACTCAAAGAACATTTCAAAGTCAAATTATGTGCACTTCCTATCATAACTTTCGCTATATACTTGCAGCATACCAAACAAAAACCACTTACTCTTGTGCTTGAATGGTGAGAGTCATGTAGGCAAAGACTCCGATGTCAGTACCCATCAGTGTGATCAGGACCAGCAGTCTGACCCAGTTGAAAGGCATCTCTCCCCAGTTTATAATGACGTTAGCCAAATGGGCAGCAATCAGGGCATAACAACCACCAGACGCACCAACTAAGTAAGACTGGAAATCACAAAAAATATAAATAAATAAATAAATAAATAAATAAATAAATAACAGTACAAATAAAACAACTGAATTAATATAATGTACAAATATACATAACTTAACAATATAAGAAATAAATAATAATAATGAATAAATAAATAGCAAAAATAAAACAACTGAATTAATATAATGTATAAATATACATAACTTAACAATATAAGATAAATAAATAAATAAAAAAATAGCAAAAATAAAACAACTGAATTAATATAATGTACAAATATACGTAACTTAAACATTATAAGATAAACAAAAGCAATATTACTCTTTATGTTGTTATTCATTAAGTACTGCTTTCCAGCTACTGTGCTATCATGGGATATTTAACAGGCATATAATCTTTAGTACTTTTTTTATCTCTAAAGTTCTGAACATGGGGTCTCTTTTCTAAATAATATCTTTATAGGTCATAGGGTTGCTATGTGAGGATAAGATACAAAGGTTAGGATAGACAGAATTACTTACTAAATACTAATGACTGTATCTATAAATTGGAATTCATATCTAAAACCCTGTAATTGTACTTCTCATAAACAAATAAAGCTTACCTTCAATTTTTTTTCTTTGATTCACTATCTTAGGATAATAATAAACCACAAAATAATTTTTAAAAAAATGCATGACACATTATGAACATAAGTAATAATATTAAGGAATATATGTGAAGCCAGACAACTGCCCATGCAGAGTAGTGTAACACCAATATACTTTACTATAAGTAAATGGGTTGATATCTAATGTAAAGACAAAGCAAAACATTGTTGTTTTTTTCATAATGGTGAAATTATATTGGCATTTCTTTGTGCAGACCAAGCCTGTACAGTAAATTCACAAATGTGGATCAACAATAGAAGCAGCTAGAGATCCCGCAATAACTCCTGCAAGGTACAGGATGAAGGAGTCGCCACCAACGGAACCATCTCCAATGGAATGCCACACAAACAAAAGCGCACCATAACATTTGACAGCAGAATGGACGTAACTGGAAAAAGACAGAACAGTATAATTCCTGTTAACAAATCTGTTATTAAAAGTTTCTACTCTCTCAGCTCTTACTCACCAGATCAGGCCTAGGAACATGTAACCGTCTGAATGTCTATATACTTCCTATATTATCATTAAATACTGGCTATTTGCCAAAGCATACTATTAAGTTTTTTGAGATTACATTCCCTGGCGAGCTTAATCACAAAAAGAAAAATCAAATTTTCAACTTATAATATATATTCATAGACACAAACTCGAAAGTAATTCTGCATTGTGTATGAATATGCTATATACATTTTTTTTTTATAATAAGCATTCTATTTGCATGGTATACATTAAACCACCTAAATATATGTAGAGATAATGGTGAAAATTCTCTTTAATTACCTATTAAACATAACATAGATAAATAGATATCGAATCACAACGGGAGAGGTAGGTAAAAAGCTATAATCAACAACTAAGAGCTATACATATGTTTATACATACCCTGTGGAGCCAAATCAACCCGTTTTTTTTTTTTTTTTTTACAGCAAAAGTGTATAAGAAATTATATGAGAAACTCCATTAATTTCTATTTTGAGGAAGAAAAAAATCATACTGAAGCTGTATTAGAGAGAGAACTCTTCCTCTCTAAATGGGTTAAGGTCAAAGAAAATACCACACACCCCTAAAAAAAAGAAAAGGAATCCTAACATACCCAGCATGAAGGAACATGTACGAGATGAATCTCCAGGCCTCCAGGGTCGTTTATGGGTCATAAATCAGAGGAAGATTTCCCATGGGACAGGGGAATATGGACCAACATTCCCATTTCACAGCATAGTATATAAATACACCTACCTATAATTGCAGAAAATAATTTCTTAACACTTACATAATTTAGATTACAAAGGAGAAAGGCTTTACAGTTTCTCTGTAAAATGTATATGTAAAGCTAGTATAAAAGTTTTTTTTTTTTACTCCTTAACATGCACAAGTCTATAAAAGCTCCAACTGTTATAGAACCGGAATATATATATATAATATATACATATATATATATATGGAAATGTAAAGATACTGCAATATGAACTACTTACAAATCTTTAAATTTCAGCCCTCTAAAATAACCCATTTTCAAGCTTTTATGCTATTGACCTTAACCCATTGGTGCTGGGTACATACACTGTGGTCTTGTTTCATTTTGTTTACACAGAGATAGCTTCACAAGAGCTTTGTCACCAAAAAGTCATTTCAATCTCAACTATTTAAAATGTACTTTGAATTTCAAAAAGAAAGTTTTTTATATCTATTGTTAATACCATTATCATTATAACAACAATAACAATTATAGTAAAAATAAAAATAAAAACATAATTCAAAGAATGGGGTATATTCAGGCAGACCTAGAAATTTACTCCTTGGTGACTAAGCATTCCTGAAGTCCCCTACATTAAACAAAATCCTTAATATGAAAACCACAATGGACAATACATGAATACATGCACTCCCAACATCAATGTGTTCATTGGCAAAGGTTTTCAGCAGCCAAACTAAAAAGGGATAACATCTAAAAAATCAAACCTTATCTTAAAGAAGGCATTTCAGCATCTGAGAAGCAGTGGTAAAGAAATTTTCCATGAAATCAATAGAGGGGGCTACTTCCTTGATATAATAATATGTATCAATATCTTAGATCTATATTTCTTTTACAAAAGTAAGTTTCCAATGGTAGAACGGAAACGGTAATTTTTGATTGTGAAATACATGCACCATCTGTCTGGTTCCAGTAACAGTTTATCACTGAGTGCTTCCTCAGTTGTTGTTCGTTATTGCAAGTTATTTTTTTTTTTTGGGGGGTGGGAGGGTGAGGGGGGGAATCACTAGTCATTCCAAAGTTTCAGTAAATATAGAAAACACATAAATTAACATACCTCAGCAGCACAAAACAAAGGAATAACCAAAGGTGGTGGGCAACAGGAGTACTCAGCAATATAATGCCGATCTCCATGAGACACTTGGGATCTTGGTGCAATAGAGAATGCTGTTGCAACAAGTGTTCTCTGTACCACTGATCGTGTGCCAGCATCAACTGGAACGTTTACCTACAAAACCAGAATGTGAAAATATCAAAATATAAAGATAATAACCATAAACAGATTTGTGATTATAGATTTCTAAAGTGACATGAAGGCCTGCATCTGATATACTCATGTGAAGAATATACTAACAATATTTCTATCTATCTATTCTTGCTACCTACAACTGTAATAGTCAGACCTTATTATTTTATTTGTATGTATACAAAATTAGGAGTATATGACAAAAACAAACAAACTAACTTACCAGTGCATAAAATTCTTGCAAGTTGATATACCCATCATTATTATAGTCTACATGGTATAACATACTGTCAACCATGTCATCTGTTAAGGGAACATCACTGACGGGTGTATTAAGCAAGTATTTCTTCAGTTCTGAACGCAAGATGTAGCCATCACCATCGCTATCAATCTATTGAAGAGAACAATGATTAAAGAAGTCATTTACATACAGAAAAAAATCATATGCATTAAAGTTTTTTTTGTAAGAACATATAATAAATATAATACATAATGTCAACTATACATGTTTGAAGAAGAAAATAATTCTAAAATAGTTCTCATCCTTTTCTACAGTATAGAAGAGAGAGAGAGAGAGTGAGAGACAGACAGTGAAACAGACAGACAGAGAGTGACAGACAGACTGACAGATAGTGAGTGAGTGAGTGAGTGAGTGAGTGAGTGAGAGAGTGAGAGAGAGAGAGAGAGAAGAGAGAGAGAGAGAGAGAGAGAGAGAGAGAGAGAGAGAGAGAGAGAGAGAGAAGGGTATATTTGATAAGAGGAGAGAGAGAGAGAGAGGAGGAGAGGAGAGAGATGTTTAGAGAAGATAGTTCTGAGTAGAGTTCCATAGAGATAACTTATGAGATGTATGTATAGTTATTTGTTAGTTAGGTTAATTTTCAGTGTAGTTAAGATAAGAGTATGTGAGTATGATGTACAGAGTTATAGTATTGAGTATGAAGATAATAGTTCTTTGTAGTTGTTAGTTAGAGTAGTGAGTGAAGTAGAGAGATGTTTAGAGAGAGATTGTAGTATGTATGATGTAGGTGAGAGTTAAGTAGAGAGAGAGAGCATATGTTCTGTTAGAGTAGAATTGTGAGAGAACAGAGAGAGATGTATATTTGTTTTTGAGGATAGATATGGTATTTTTTGATTTTTGATACATTTTTCTGTTATGATGATGAGTAGAGTATGGAGAGAGAGATATGATTTTTTTTGTTTATGGTATTAGAGTAGTAGATATGAGTATAGATTGTTATGTATGTTGAGTTAGTGGTTTGAGATGGTTATGATGAGAGAGTTATAGTAGTATATGTTATTTTTTTTTCTTTGTTGTTTTGAGTAGAGTCTTAAAGAGAGATTTGTATGAAGTTAACTTTTTGTTGAGTAGAGATTGTACGTATGTAGGAGAGAAGACATGAGGTTTATTGTATGGTATATGTAGTAGTAGTACTGTTGAGAGAGAGTGTTTTTCTGTTTTAGTATGAGAGAGTTGAGACTAGTATCTCTTGTAAGAGTATGTAATTGATCGTTGATTTTATGTTTGGTTTATATTCTTTTTGTTTTTTTACGACGTGGGACTCGATGATAGAGACTCTGAGAGTTAAGACGATGGAGACAGAGAAGACGGAGAGAGAAGACTGAGAGACTGGAAGAGAGAGACTTCGAGAGACAGAGAGAACCTTCGAGGACTGAGAGAGAGGGAAGAGAGAGAGAGAGAGAGAGAGAGAGATAGAGGCAGAGAGGATGAGAGGAGCAGAATGAGAGAGAGAGGATAGAGTAGGAGAGAGAGAGTAGAGAACTAGAGAAGAGGGACCGAGAGAGAATGATAAGGACATATTGCGGAGGAGACTGAGGAGACTTGAGAGAGACGTTGAATTGAAGGATCTGAGAAGAGACTTATCGTGTGAGAAGAGCTTGAGAGAGCCGATGGTAGAGAGAGACACGTGAGGTACGATTACTATTTTTGAAGAGAACGCGATAATTAGCCGTGGAAGAGATAGATTCTAGAGATAACGAGAGAGAGAGAGAAGTAGAGAGACAGAGCTGAGAAAGCATATGACCGCTTTAGCACTAGCATTGATGAATCGGTTGACACACGATGGACAGAAGATATAACGTATTTACGCTACTTTAATATGCCTACAATTTTATTCACACAGTCGTCGTGAGAGATGCGTACACTAACTCGTTAATAATGTTACCGAACTTAGGACCAGCATGGACTCGATCTATGTTTTTTAAAGAGGCGCACATTCGCAAGATCCCAGGACTCCGAGGCCTTAACGGTATGCATCGCGGAGTCTAACCCGGGCGACTCTCGGCGATCCCTAGCGACAGCGTATATGTGAGAGGGGGAGCGAAGCCCTAGAGAAATCTCTGAGTCTATTAATGTTTGCTTGAAAAAGAGTTTATTTTTTTTTAACTACTTTTTATCTTTTGCTTTTTTTTTTATTTTAGATGTAAGTTGGAAGTTTTTTTTGGTATTTGTATTTTTTTTTTTGAAGTTAAATTTTTGATATGTTTTAATTTTCTTTTTGTTGTACTTGAAAACATTTACTTTTTTTTTTTTTCGTTAGAATTTATTCTTTTTAATTATTTATTTCTTGTATGAAGGTTGGAGATGTTTTTTAAGATTTGTTTTGTTAGTAGTTATTTTGAATGTTTTTATTTTTTGTTTTAAGAGGATTCTTTTTTTTTTTTTTTGTTAGTTTTTTTTTTTAATGGTATTTATATGTTGTCTTGTTTTATTGATGTTTTTATTGATTTGTTTATTCTTTGATTTTTTTGTTTTTTTGTGATTCTTTTTTTTTTTTATATATGTTGTTTTTAGATTTTCATTTTTTCTGGTTTTTCTTTTTTCTTTTTGAGTTTTTTTTTTATGGTAATGTTTTTTTATGTTTTTTTTTTTTATTTTTTATTTTGTATGTTTTTTTTTTTATTTATTTTTTATTTTTGTGTTTATGATTTGCTTTTTTTTTTATTTTTTTTTTTGTTTTTTTTTTTTTTTATTTTTTTTTTGTTGATTTTGTTTTTTTTTTTATTTTTTTTTTTGTTATTTTTTGTTTTTTTATGTTTATTTTTTTTTTTTTTTTGTTTTTAGTTTATTTTTGATATTTTTTTTTCGTTTTTATTTATTTATATTTTTTGATTAAATAAAATTTGAATTCAGTTTGGTTATTTGGTTTGTAGTATTCTGCATTGTATTGATATGTTGATTTTTTTTGTTTATTATGTATGTTGTTTTTGGTAGAGAGTTTTTTTTTTATAGTTTTTTTTTTTTTTTATATTTTTTGTATCTGTATGTATTTTTTTTGTGTATTTTTTTTTTGTATGTAGGTGTTTTTATTTTTTTTTTTATTGTCTTTTTTATTTCTTTTTTTATTTTGTTTATAGTTTTAGTTTTTGTTTTTATTTTTTTTTATGTTATGTTTTGCTTTTTTTTCATTTTTTTTTTTTTTTTTGTTTTTTTTCTTTTTTTTTCTTTTTTTTTTTTGGTATTTTTTTTTTTTTTTTTTTTATTTTATTTGTGTTATTTTTTTAATTTTTACAGTGATGTTAGTTTCTTATGTTTTTTTTAATGTTGATAACTGATTGTAGTTTTTTTATTTTCTTGTTGTTGAGAACTCTTTTACTTAGTTTATTTTTTCTCTTTTTATTTTTTTTTTTTTTTTTTTTGTTTTTTTGTATTCTTGTTTTTTTTATTTTTTCTTTGTTTTTTTTTTTTTTCTTTTTTTGTTTTTTTTGGGTTTTGTAGTTTGTTAGTAATATTCTTTTTGTTTTTTCTTATTTTTGTGATTTTTATAGTTTTGTATTTATTGAATTTTGTTATGGAGTGTATATTGTTTGTTTATTGTTAATTTCTTTTTATTTTTTTTTCTTTTTTTTTTTTTTGTTTAAGTTATTTATTATTTTTTTATTCTTTAGTTCTTTTTTTATTGATTGTTTGTGTTTTTTTTTTTTTTGAATGATTGTTTATAGTTTATTTTTTATTTTGTTTTTTGTTTATTTTCTAATTATCTCTTTATTTTTTTTTTTTGTTTTTTTTTGTTTTGTTAGTTTTTTTTTTTTTTTATTTGTTTTATTTTATTGAAGATGTTGTATGATGATGTTTTATTTTTTATGTTGTTAACTCTTTGATGTAAGTCATATTATCATTATTTTTTATGTATTCTTTGGTATGTTTAAGTGTGTTTTACTTTGATTTTATGATTGTTTATTTTTTTGTTTTTCTTTAGTATAAGTTTTATGTTTTATTTTTGTTTTTTTTTTCTTTTTTTTTTTATTAATTTTTTTTTTTTTTTGTAGTTTAGTTATGTCTTCGTGGAGGTTGGTAAAGACAAGTTGAGAGACGAGAGTTCATCACTGATATAGAAAGAAGAAGTAGACTGTTTGTAAGATGAGAAGAAAGATACTGGGAGGCTAATCAGTGAAATGCAACTGTGTTATGAGAGGAGACTGTAGTTAGGAGGAGTGATGTAGGTGAAATGAGGCAATAGAATTGATCGAGAGAAGAGAGTGAAGAGGAGAAGAGAGGAAGAAGATAGAGATGTGTAGGTAAGAAGGGGAAGCAGGAGTTAGTTACGGTAATAGAGGAGAGAGAAGGGAGGAGATGTTTAAAAGAGAAGAGGAGGAGGAGGGGAAGTAGAAGAGAGGAAGCAACTACTAATGAACAACCCTCCTGAGTATGGGGCGTCGGGGGGGAAGGACTTCATGCCAAGTTGATTGGCTTTACATATTTATCTATTCGATACGCTCTTCAGACAGATGACTTTGTTAGTTACTTTTCGTGTTGAAAAAGAATGCGAGACTCGTATCTAAATAAGTTTTCAAGAATGCATCATTTTCTTTCATTTTTGTTAATATGTAATTTCTTTGGTCTTTGACACCATCACAGAACCAGTGTATGTCTCCTTACAACATTGACAAGCTCAGATAATTAAGATGTTTATCATAATTTCATGCTCTTTCCTTTATGGTATAAAATATAAAACAATGTGCATTATTTCAAATTATCATAATGGTACACTTTAGTTGAAAGGAATCATTCTCAGTTTAAATTTCTGTTAAATACAGCAGCACATTTGTGGATTACCCCATTGGTACCTTGTCTAAACCCAAGTGATTCTTTCTAACATTATCCTGCTTCCAATCGTTTTGTTTTAATTTTCTCCCACAATGAATTTTATGCCTCATGACCTCCATTCTTGGTAACATAAACTCTGTGTATTTTGTAGATATTTAATGATGTATGTTTATGAATCTGTTATGAGAAGAAGAGGAAGATAGCAATGCCTGAAAGAAATATCTCAGAATCGTTAAATAATTTTCTATGTTAGGACATACTCAGTTCTTCCACATTCGTCGTTCGGTGTTTCTTGCCACCTATACAGTAAGGGGCCGTGTATTTTTGTTGTATATTTTCTCTTGTTAATTTTATTTATTTTGTGAGTAATTTATTGTTCTATGATGATGTTGCGTTGTAAGCTACCATCTGTTTCTTGATCGTTTCTGTTTCTCAGTCTGATCCTGTCTTGAATCTTCTGTTATGTGTTGATTTCTTCCAGATATTGTTGTAAGTAGTCAGACGGTAGGTGGGTGCTAGGGTTATTTTAAATACAGCATGAAGATGATAGGAAAGAAGGAGATTGGTTGTATTAGAGTGAGTGTAGGTAAGTTAGGAGTTGTTTAATATCAAGTTGTTTATGTGTGTAGAGAGGTATATTTGGGTTCTTAATCAGACTGTATCAAAAAGTATATATAATTGATGTATAGTATTTTGAAATTTCTGGGTGTGTGATGGATGGTAAAGTTTAAACAAAAGTATATTCCATCAGTCATAATAGTAAAATACAACATATTAGAAACAATGTTTACTTCAGGGAACATGTTCAGTAAAAGATTTGATAGCATACTTTATGTAAATTTAATTGATTTTTATGACTAAAGAATTGAAATAGTTTATATACCTTAAATAGTGTTATTTTCATACATTATTTAGGTATAAAATAAAATGATGGGTTTTTGAAATATATTGAGAGGTTGTCGTTTTCGTGGAGTTTCGTGGGTATTGATGTTTAGTTGAGTTAGATGTATAAGATTGAGTCTATAGATCTGAACGAGAAATCGTGATATTATGGGAAATTGAGGTAAGAGGTAAAGAGAGAGAGAAGAGGATGTGAGAGTGAGAGAGAGAGAGTAGAGCCTTATTAAAAGAGATTCGGATAATAGTTGGACGTTTATTATCGTAACTATATTTAAAATTATTTTTTTATGATTTCAGTATTACAAGGTTTCTTGATTGATTTTGTAGTGTATCCGATTTGAAGTCTTTTTTTATATTCTAAATTAGTTGACATATAGAAATATGAGTAATAGTATATATTTTTATTAAATATAATTCTGTATGTTTCTATCATTTCAATTAGACCACTATTCCCTATTATATTTTTACATTCATATTTATGATCTTTTTCTACTACACTTATTTTACTTATTTTGCTTTATATTTTTCTAAGTTGGATGCGTTATATAATTTGATTGGTTGCTTCTGGTTCTTCTTATGTTTATATCTGTGGCGTATTTGGGTGCGTGAGTGGGTGGTGGGCGTGATACGGAATATTAGGATAAATAGTGAAACTTGATGGCCTGGCAGGGAAAAATTGTGATTTGTAGATTGGGGGGCAAATTCTGGAACGATCTGTTGGATCTGAGTGTAGGAGGATATGTTGTGGTGCAGGGACCAAATAGTTGTTATTATCTCGTAATGTATTATTAGTGCATTTATGATTTACTTCAAAATATCTTTATGGAAGTTGGTTTCGATTCTTTGATAGGTTAATTTAAATATGTCTGTATTACATTTACTGGTGTAGGCGATACAGAAGTTTGATGCTGCTTTTAATTGGTTTCGTTGACTGAAAGAATTACAGTAGGGTGGTACAATTTGCGTAATATTATTATCTGCATTATTTTATTTTGTCATAGAATTAGTCATAGCAATTCATTTATGAATATATATATTATAAGAGTTTCGATTTATCACTATTGTGATAGATCTTCACTTAATTACTTAATTTATCTTATATACTGATCTTTTATATTTAAGATATATATTTTATAAGTTTAGCTGTGCGAATGATTTTTCTACTGAAATTTTTTTCACGTTGATTGTTTTTAATGTTATTTCTTGTCTGGGTGATAAGAAATATTAAATAGATAAGCAGAGTTTTTTTTTGTTTTTTCTTTTTTCGTTTTTTTTTTATTTTTCTTTTTTTTTTTTTGTTTTTTTATTTTTTTTTTATTATTTAATTTTTTCTTTTTTTTTTAATTTTTTTTTTTTTTTTTTTCTTTTTTTTTTATTTTTTTTTTTATTTTTTTTTTTTTTTTTTTTTTTTTTTGTTTTGTGTTATAGTGTATGGGCATAGTGTGATGACTTTAGATATTCGTTTATTTTTATCCGAGTGAGATCAGTCTATATGTTTTCTTATACTTTGTTTTAATTTTTTCTGTTATTTCTTATAATGTATTTCAAGTATTTTAAGCCTAATGTATGTTGTTCTTAAATTAATCAACTCGACAATATGAATGGTGTAATTGTTGAGTTTATTATTAGAGGATAAGAAATTTTCAGACTAAATGAAGATCACGCGAAGCACGGATCACCCTTTGAAGGTATAGTATATACTATTTTCTCGTAACCACAGTTCATTGAAGATGGGACGGAAGGAAGTCTAAGAGGTAATCGGAGGTGGTGGATGGTGACGAGCCTTAGTGAAAGAGAGGGATATTTGTGATTCCAGAATGATTAGTTTTTCTGTGCGTGCCTGTTGTGGGTGTAGGTGGTTATTTGGCAGTACGTTTCACGTCGTTCTTTTGTTGGGCGGGGATATTATTTTTATTAGAAAAAGAGAGAGTAAATAGATTTGTTGCATGGGGAAAGTATATGGTTAAATAATGATTGTAAGCGTATTATTATATATTATGTATTTAGATTGTTTTTGTTTTGTGGAATACAACCAAATGAAATTAAAAAAATAAGATAAAATACGATAAGACAAGATAAGCTAAAGGATGAAGACAAAGTGAGGTTAATGAAAATGGGTATGTGAACACCTACACGCTACAGCATTAAAGGGCACACACGCTCGCATATACACTACTACTTAATCACAGAACTCACACAGCTCGCCAGTCGATGGAAAACTATACGATATGTGGTTGCATATCAGAGTGTCGCAATATATGCCACACAGTATATATATATTAATATATATAACAAGTAGAGTAAATGTGTATGCTTATGAGTAC